AAAGTCATGAAGCATGCCGAGTATAATTTGCCAACAGTCCAATGTGACATCTTCATATTTGTTTGATTCATTCAAACCATCAGCTTAAAAGATATTAATTGACGAATATATTAAATAGGGACGAAAATGCAAGCAAATTCTTCCCTTCCAGCGCCGAATCGGGTATAATCTTAAGCCTTTTCACTTCTAAATGACTAAAGAAGATCTATATTAATGATTAATTTTCTGTTACTTTAACTATATTTTGTTTTAGAAGTCACGTAAGTTTTGCATATCCAGTGACCTCACATACAACCCCCCCAAAAAATGCTGTTTTATTTTGCCTCTAGTCGGCCTCCAGTGCGGAGAGGGTGAGGCCAGTTGGGGTGTTTTGCGGGGCAGTAATATAATTTATGAGTGTATTTTTTACCAACATATACCAACACCCACTACCACGGGGTGTGTGTGTGTGTGTGTGTGTGTGTGTGTGTGTGGGTCTAGACTCAAATCTATTTTCTGATCTAACTGCTGTAGGAAGCTGCCTCACTCACACTGTGGGGACATGGAGATTGATCACCTGCCATGCCTTCGCCCCAATAATTAAAGGCTGTTTTCCTGTGTGTGTGTGTGTTGTGGTGTGTGTGCTGTGTGTTGTGTGTGTGGCTGTGTGTGATGTGTGTGTGTGTGTGTCCGGCCCTGCCCTCCCTTAATGAAGGCAGGGTCACTCCTGTTGTGGACAGTCTCACTGAACTGGTTGGGGGAGAGGAAAAGGAAATAGGAAGTAATTACCTTGAAAACTGGGAGTTGTGCTCCTGGCTCATTTACCTTAATCGAATTTCGATATCTGCCTGTCATTAGACTTGACCCCCCACCACTGGGACCAGCTAACCGCGGACTAACCTCTGCTACAGAGGGCTAATCAAAAGGGTCAGCTATCCATCTGGGTCCAAGCTGGCGATTAAAAAAGCAGCTCGGCTTATAGTAGTTAAATAAAACCAGATGAAAGACCAAATCACTGAAAAGTAAATTTGGCCAGAGTGGATTCTGTTTTGGGTTGTGGGTACAATTAAAAGGTCAATCACTGATATTTTTTTAAAGTAAACTCATATCCTCTATTAAAGTTTGCTGCAGATGCTCTGAATTGTACAACAGTTGAAGGAATCAGAGGTACTGAAGAGGGTAGTGGTTTAAAGAGGGTAGTGATTTGCTTTTTGAGTGCTTCAGAGTCATTCAACAGTTCTAAACTAGTAGCATTCACAAACTGAAGAGCACCAGAGGGACACTTTCTTTCACACTCGAGCAGCACTCCAAGCAGACCGTCTTGTGAATAATAATTAAGTATAATTAGGGTTTAAAAAAAACACAAAGTTGTCCTACACCCTGAATACCTGCCGAGTAAAACTGCAGTAATGACTAAACGTTTAATTGATTGAGAAAATAACTGACAGTGGAAAATAAATCATTATTTGCAGCCCGAGCGACAACAAAAGTATCTAATTTATAGAGTGACTACAAGGCTAGCAGTGCTCCAGATATCAGTTTTTCCTGTCTTTTCTATTCTACCAACATTGCTTGAACGCAGCCTAAATCTTTTATCCGCTACACCTTACAAGTGTTTGGTACCTGCTCCGTCTGTACTGCAGTAATCTCTGCTGCAATCACAAAGCTTGTCCCAACGTGACCGCTCTAATTCCTCCTGCTATTGGGTCAGAGGTAGAGGTAAGCCTGTTGGCTGGAACCTTTTATCTAATTAAAGTGCAGCCAAAGTGAAATCTGAGAAACCCCGTGATCTGATCTCAGCCTGGACTGTGCGACTACATATCAGATGTTTCCTTAACTCCGCCTGAGAGGGAAAGAATCAGAGCAGAGCTGCTGTTAGGGACTGCACCCTTTGTGCTGACAGGTCATGGTTAACCAACAATCAGAGCAATTACTGCAGTGAACACCATATTGACGGCACATTGCAGACATTGTGAACTCAAATAAAAACATAATAAACCACTGGAGACAGGGGCAAGTCTGCACAAGTGAAGAGGACATGGCACCGCTGGTTTGTGTTCAGTCTGAAACATTCAAACGCCACAAACAGGAGGGAAGAAAATGGTTGCAGATTAATACACTAAGCTACTTTTATTCCCTTTTCACCCCTATTTTCCTCCTGAATCTATTGCCCTTTCCCAAGTTGTGCTTGACACGCAACACTTGCTGAAGCGTATAAAGGTGAAATAAACCCGTGAGCGTAATGTAGCACGTTTAAATATCCTATACGCCCGTATTGGCGTGCCGGTCCTCCTCTACGTGTGCAGTTTTGCCCCCGGCCTCAGGTCAAATGAAGGAAGAAAAAAAGGGGGGTATACACACAGTCAGAGGCAGATTGGGAAGTCCACGTACCCCGATGATAGCATTCAGCTCAGTCATAGTCACCTGCTTGGCTCGTTCAACAGCCTGAGCCACCTGCTGTTGATGCTGCAGGACACAAACACAAAGATTAGATTCCTGGTGGAAAAGAATTCGTTACAAAAACACTGAAAACATCTCCTGCCCTGAACCGATGGTTTACCTACACACGTCTACAAACAGGCGCGTTTAGAGGAAAACGGGGGAAATTGTGCTCCATAACGCACTAAAGTCATCTAATCCTACTCAAAGTCATTCCCTTAAAAACTCAGCATAACTGTGCATAATAATAAAAAATAAAAAATGTAGTCTTTACATTCAAACTACTTTTATTCCCCTTTCACTCCTACACACCTTAGAACTAGGTATGTTAATCATTTACCAATGATGAATCCATTTCTGTCCTCCTAAGTGTCAATACAGTACAGTAAAGATAACCATGAGACAATAACATCTTTAAATCAGGACAGCGAGTGATTAAAACACATTAAACAGACATTCAGTGGAGTTGTGTTTCTAGATCTGTCACTTTTTCATAATTCAGGTAATTACTTAAACTCTGTTTCCCTCTCACTCAGTGAATTCATGTCTGGTACTATAAAAAAAAAGACGCTCCGACATTCCCATACATCCCATTAACTCTCTGCACAATCAGTTTCCTGTACACTTGTTGAACACGGTGACTGTAACTATGCTTCAACTCACCTCTTGTGACAAGAACGGCATGATCTGAGCCAGGATTGCATTGAGACGTTTGGCGATCTCAGTCTGTAGGAGAAAAAGAGAAAACATTAGATTGAGTCATTCAGCATACTGCACGCCACAGGCAACACTATAATTAAGCAGTTAGACTACCTATAAAACAAAAAGGGTATGCATTTGCACACACACACACACACACAAATGTTTGCAGCGTCGAAATGGAACAGGCCCTCTATTTCTTAACTAAATTGGAACCGCCTTAGAACAAATTTACTTCCCCCTCTCTCCTGCCTCCATTAGACTCAGGCCTTATTTCATTAGGAGGCTGAAATATGCTAATACCATCTGGCTGGAGAGAACATAATGAGGTCCATACTTCATAATTACGGCCCGTAGAGAGGGGGGGGAGGGGCGCGCTGAGGCAGGTTAACTCTGGCCCCGTCTATCAGAGGCATCTTTGGTATCGACCTCGCAGTGTTCGCTGGGACAGTAAGATGATACTGCGGGGCTCGACGGACATAGAGCACTTTACAGTTCTGCATTTGGACAAATGGATACGCTGCACTGCCCGCCTACCGCACTCGAATGTCCCTAGACATTTCGCCCAAACCCATTTCCTTTTTTTTTTTTTTTAAATCTGTACTTTAGAGAGGAGGAGGAGGAGGAGGAAGAGGAAGAGGAGGAGACAGAGAGGAACAAGTAAAAAAAAAGCAGAATAAAGGAGGAAGGGTGTGGTGGGGTGATGAATGGTGGAGTGAATTGCTCTGATTTGACACTAAGGTAATGTAGTTTGACTGAACCGGGGGAGGTGAACTAATTGATTCTGAGAGATTAGGGGTGGGGGCCCAGCAGGTGTGCGTGTGTGGGGGGGGGGATAGAGAGGGAGGTCCTTCCCGCCGTTTTATACGCTGCTGCATTCCACTCATTTTCTCCTTTAACCTTGTTGGACTGTGAAAGGGGGGGAAGGAGGAGAGGGAAGGGAGGAGGGGGGAGGACAGGAGGTGCCGGTAGCCTTTTGCACAACCGTCCTGTGTCGGTCTTTTCATTTTGGAGGAGGGGAGAAAGGGAAAAAGAAGGAGAGAAGAGGAGGGGGGGGGGCAGACCTTTGCTGGCCTGTCAGGAATTATCTCACAACCCCCCATCTGACCTCAGACACACTGAGCTCTCTCTCTCTCTCTCTCTCTCTCTCCTCTTCCAAACGCTTCTTCACACCCCTCCCTGCTAATCTCCACGACTCTCCTCTATGCCCCCCCTCCTTCCTCCTCCTCCTCCTCCTCTCTCATATTCCCCCTCTTCTGTTGCTGGGGCAACGCTATCTGGCACGGCTGATCGTTATGTAAATTGTGCTGGGGCCCTGACCAGAGCAGCCTGTAAAATCATATTAGGCGCAGCAAAGAGGCAGGTCATTAAATTGAATTTTCGGCCTGCGATCTGAATCGGCACGGGACTTTAATGAGGGATAACTGGGAGCGGGGAGGTGGGGGGGCTGGGGGAGGGAGGGAGGGAGGGAGAAAGAGAGAGAGAGAGAGGGAGGGAGCTCTATGGAGACTCATAAACCATCATCATTAGCGGGGGCTGGATACAATGACACACAGTAGGATTAGAGTGTTTCAGTATCACACCACTTCTCTGGAAATGGCTGCGAGGGGAGCAACATGGGGCTTGTAGGACGCAGCGGTGTGCTGATACACTCGGCTATTAGAGCAACAACATTACAAACCCTCACCACAAACCGATTCACAAAGAAAAGGCATCCATTTGTTCACGGGCAAAATCACCACTCCACAACCACAATTTGAAGCCCAAAAAACATTCGTGGGATTCAGGTGCACTTCTGTGTCGAGTTGTTTAGTGCGCTGTGCTAAAACACACACACACACACACACACGTTTCTCTCAGTGGCTCGTTTCTGAAAAGGCGAGCTGAAGCACCAGGTGCTTCGAGAGCTGAGATCATACCGAGTTGCGTTCAGGTTTTTTTTTTTTTAAGGTTAAATGTTCCTGAACCCTCGGCTTCCTCTGAAAAGTTACCCCCAGAGTTAAAATATTACTTTGGAGGCAGGAAATTAAACAATGGAACAGACTTCCTTTGCATCCATTTCTGTTTTTCTTTTGTGGACTTATTATTTGCGACGCCGATTCCGATGCCGTACTTTTTGCCGCCGTATTTCAGCTACAATTGAAGAGAACGAGGGCAAACATGACTCACACACACGTGAGCCTGAGAAACGTAATGTAAAACCCCTCACCGCCTTTATCGGCTACATCTTGGCCTTGTGTTTCGAATGTAGTCGCTCCACTGAGGGTAAACGGGCACGAGGCTTATTTGCACAACTTTTTTACTCCCATTTTGAAGGGGTGGGAAAAAAAAACACTGATAACGCATCGCATCCAATGAGTCGCAGCACTCTTAAATGACTCCCACTTTACTTTGGAGGCACTATTTTCCACAGTGCTTTTAGTGGCAGAGACGGGGCACTGGAAAGAGTTTATTGTCACTTAAAGCCACTGAAAACAGAAGCCTTTGAGCCGGCAGAAGCTTTTCACTGCAGCTCCACAATTACAGGTACTCAGGGTCGTCTAGTAGCACCAGAGCTTGGAGAGGCTCTCTCTCCATTGCATCCCTCTGTCAATGGTGCGTTGAAAGCCATTTGGCTGTTTGTCGCTGCAGGCATTAGCCCCCGAGTGGAGAGCAGAGTCTCTGACGAGGATTCAATTGGCGAGGAAAACAAGTGGCATATGATGGGGGGAGGAAGGGAGAGATGGGAATTATCTTCTCAGCCAGAGCCGAGGAAGAAAGAGGCACTTAGAGGTATCTTGTTCATTACAAATGCATGAAGAATATTTTGCATGTCGTTCTATTTTGAGCCCATGAACACAAAACTTAAGTGACATCCTTTTTTTTCTGCAGGGGAGCACGTGGAAACGGGCGGCTTTCCAACAGATTACATCTGATTTCGTTAGAGTTTCGAGATCACCGTGCAGATGAAGGATCTCGTTTTTGAATTATGCAGTTTGTATGTACACACAAAGTATTTTCTTCCGTTTAACCACATCAAAACGTTGACACACACACACACAGACAC